CGTTTGAGTCAAGTGACCTGCATCTCATGCGGGTGGGAAACTCGACTGCCTTTTTCGTATGTAGTCTTCTAATTCACTAGAACTTGGGTTAATAAAAATAAATTGTACAAGTTCGCGGCTCCGAAGCGGTAAGTAGCACACCTAAATACCGAAGTTAATCAACGTCGCAAGACGTAGTTGTGCCATAAGCAGTGACGCATCGACATGATGACCCAGACGATACGAGTTGTATGTATGAGAATAACACAGTGAAATATTCTCATTTTTCATTTGAAATGTTTATCTTTCACGTTTTTTAAAATTTTTCCAAAGGTCTTGGATATATAACAAAACTATAGACCTTTCTCACTTGGCCGAGGACAAATAATTTTCTTTAAATTTCTGCCTGCATTGGATATTGATATAATAGAACTTGTTTATGTGAACCTCCTCAGCCCGGACATCGGGATAGCTCGGATCAGTTGTAGGAAAAAGTTGCTTAGCGTGGTAAATGAAGATTTGTTTAACAGACGATAAATAGCTACTCTCAGTAGCTCAGCTCTATTTTAATCGGAATTCACTTGCCAGTGGTAGAGTTCATTGCCCTCATCCCAGCTGCCAATCCTCTCCTTCCTCTTCTCAGGATTCCAGCGACAGCCGGAAAGGGGGAAGGGAGGAAGTGGTCCTGGCGGTGCTCTGAGCATTCTCAGGGTCACCGACTGGTTTCTACCGATGAATATTGGGTGCAGTGAAAATCCACATTTTCGTGTGTATTTAAGTGAAAATGTGCTGAAAAAGTTTTGAACTTCCATAAAAATGTTTGATTAGTTAATTTTTTGAATCGTGTATTCCTCATTCTCTGGATAATCATATTTTTCGTTAACTCAGATCGGTCCTGGTCCCAGTTGATATGTGTTAACGATGATTTACTGCAGACATGTCAAACTGCGCCCGTCGGAGCTACTAGCCCGCCTGGCAAGCCACGTACTCCGGCGAGCACGGCAAAGCTTATTCCCCTGAAGTCGTAGGCTTCCGCGACCAGAGTCATGTGGGTGATCTGGGCTGTCCGGGTGACGCGGCGTAACCCGGACAGCCCAGATCACCCACTTATTCCCCTGACTCCGCACTAATTTTCCCTCCAAATTCAGAAAGTGGTAAACACACACAAACTGAAACGTTGCGGGGGAATAGTGGCTTCAGTCGAAGACACATACCAGATTTGTTTTATCGAACATCAGAGATTTGATTTATTTTCCCTGCACTATTTTTTTCGTCATTTCATATTTGTTTTCATAATACAACGCGTGGGAGACGCTCCACTACGCTACTAGGTTACAAGTGTGACTCTTCTGTAAGCTTCGCCGCCCACGCCACGCGCCGGCCGGTCCGTCCGTCCCAGCGCGAGTCTTTTTATCAGCGCGGTGGTGTGGCGGGCGCGGGCAGCGGCGGCCGGGGCTGCCGGGCGAACTGGACCGATATCGCGTGATAAGATTGCGCACCCCACCCCACCCCACCCCACGCGCGGAGAGTTCTCGCGAGCGCGGGGCGCATCGGGGACCTTCGCCTGAGCGAGGCCGCTGCAGCGCGCGGGCGGGGACGCTGCGCCTCGTCATCCACTTCCCGGAAAGTGTGTCAACAGCGTGTGTGTGTTCACCCGTTGCGGTGAATCAATCCGATCGCCTTTGGCGTTTGTGCAGTTCTTCTCCTCTCCTTTCATCTTCCTTCTTTCTTTCTCCTCATAATCCTCCGTTTTCTTGACTCTTCATCCTCATAATCCATCTTTTTCTTTCTTCTCATCATCAGCGTCCCTTTTTCTTTCTTCTCATCATCAGTGTCCCTTTTTCTTTCTTCTCATCATCAGCGTCCCTTTTTCTTTCTCCTCATCCTCATCGTCCTTCTTTCTTCTTTCTTCTCATCCTCATCGTCCTTCTTTCTTCTTTCTCCTCATCCTCATCGTCCTTCTTTCTTCTTTTTCCTCATCTTCATCGTTTTTCTTTCTTCTTTCTCATCCTCATAGTCCTTCTCTTTTGTTCCTCTTCATCCTCATCGTCCTTTTCTTCCTCCTCATTCTCCTTTTTATCTTTCTCCTCATTCTCCTTTTTTCTTTCTCCTCATTCTCCTTTTTTTCTCCTCATTCTCCTTTTTTTTCTCCTCATTCTCCTTTTTTCTCTTCATTCTCCTTTTTTTCTTTCTCCTCATTCTCTTTTTTTTCTTTCTCCTCCACTTCTTTTCTTGTGCAAATAAATCAGTATGTAATGTAGCTCATGAAGTACTTTTTTTTAATATGAATTTATTTCTTTACGAGAAGAATAGGAATACAAAACTTCTTTAAAATTAGAATACTTTCCGATTTGTTTTGACGCGCTCTGCTGCTTGAAAACAGGAAAACGCGCGAACTGCAATTACGTTCCGGAAAAGGCTAGGAACTGTCAACGAGTCCACGAGGTCGCTGACCACTTCTGCTTACGGTAATAACCTGACGCCGAAAGCTATTACAATTGACCCCAATTTTGAAAATTGTATTATTAGTATGTTTCGTGAGATGGATACAGAAGACTGTGTTTTCTTGCATACTATTTCTTTTAATAAAACTGCTAACAAGACGCAATTTGGCAGTAAATTCTAGTTTAAAAAAATAATTTAATTAAATTAGGTGGTGGTTTGCAGAGTTTTGTAAACAAAAATACGCAAACGTTGTTTGTAAGATTCAATATTGAATCCATATATAGAGATAAAAAGGATTCTCGCAATATTGTATATAATTAAATTTAGTTATAACTTCTCACTATCATATGCTTCAAAGATATAAACAAACGATAAATGCGTGCATTCATAGTTTCGGAACTCACGTTGAAAACTCTGTATCCAATCTGTCACAAAGTTCAGGCGCTATCTACGTTACGCTGCCGTTGACGCTACTCGTACAACGTCATACTTCCGAGCTGGACTTACTCATCAATGTTTTCTTAATTTGAATTAAGAAATAATCAATGTTTTCTTAGCTTCATGGTCATTTGATTGTGATTCAGGAAGCAATGGTTGACTTTTTCATACTTTTTGTGATCGTCACATTTATCCTATCCTATCCTATCAACCACGTTTCTGTTACACTTAGCTGATCGGGCGATATTGCGACATCGGCTGTTGAGCCAACTACGTCTATGCGAATATTGTATCGTTGCCTTGAAACTGCAATGCGTCAATAAGATGGGCGCACATGCTTATATCCGTACACGTGGTGCCTTCGGCCTACTATCATAACGCTGTTCCAAGAGAACATTGACGAAACTTGCAAAGTTATTGCAAAGCAATTGTCTTAACTGTTAGCATAGAAACTAAAGCACCAAATGCATATGAGAGAACATTAGCACAATATGTACTTATAGGTTTGGCCATTACCCAGCATAACTGATTTCAATTACTACAGCGTTCTACAGATAATGTACAACATTGTTTCTTTGACTTCCTTTGAAATATCATTTATATTGCGTCAATATTCTTCTGGAATAAGATATCCAATCTATACGTCATGTGGCAAGATAAGTGGCTATGCGTAGGAGAGACAATCTAGGTGATCTGGGCTGTCCGGGTGACGCCGCGTCGAAGGCTGAGTTGCCGACGTTTCGACCATCCTGTCGTGGTCTTCCTCAGGGCTGGTATGCATGGTCGAACCGTCGGCAACTCAGCCTTCGCCGCGGCGTCACCCGGACAGCCCAGATCACCCACATGACTCTGGTCGCGGAAGCCTACGACTTCATTTGAGAGACAATGTAGTTTCTGTTAACGCATTGAAGGAAAAAAAGGAAAATATTACTAGAATCTGGCATTTAAAAACGTATTCTTCAATTCTCAGTCTTATTAATATTATTATACCTCTATTAATAAGTATTATATCTCTTTTTGGAGATTCTATCGGTCGGCTCTCACCGGTAGTTTCCTGTTCTTTCTCTGATCAATATTAGCCGAATACTGGAGCAGTACCCACAGAAAGGGACCGGGCGAGATCTTTCCTTCCTCTTCCTTGTTGTAGAATATCGCATTACACACACACACACACGCACGTGCACAATCACTTGCATGCACTACTCTACCACACATTACGAGAGGCCGATCTGGAGCTTGGAGCTTGTCGTGGATTGGAGGGGGGGTCCCGCTGGAGGGAGATATCTGGAGTGGGAAACCTCCAAGGCGGTGTGTATGTCGATGATATGGGGTGTATTGGAACTCACCATTCAGTGGGGCAGGAACACAATAACCTTCTGAAATAAAACATTCAATACTCTAACGGGATTAATAACACAGCAGCTAAAGTGCCCAGAAGCGTCCTTCAATTAATCAGTCAAATGAGTCTAAAGGGAACGAGAAACCCAAGTGAGGTGCCACGCTAGACATCCACCCATCTTTTCAGTTTTAATTTTACTTGAGGAAATTCTGCGCGCACTCCGCAGAAACGCAAGTCGTTCTTGCGGGCGTGAAATAAAATACTGCAATTGATGCAGTAAATTTTTGTGTTTCGCCCTGGAGCATTTGAAAATACAGTGATTTCTCATTGCGCTTGAGTATTTAAAATAAAATGTGTGTGCTTCATTTTTTAAAAATTATGTTAGTTTATTAAAGTATTCCTACAAAGAATGGCCTTATACGTCTGATATCTAATTTCATTCCGTGTTCTGCATTTTCTTATTTCACTTTTCTCTCTATTTTTCAAGATTTTTTTGTTTTCATTCATTTGATTTACATTTCACAGTGCAACTCCCCTTCCACATTTCGAAACTTAAAAGATATAATCGGCAGTTCATTACAGTAAAACCTATCCCAATTTTTACTTACTTTCCAATTACCTCATATTAGAAATCCCTTCCATGAAGATTGGGTAAATAGTATATTGTAATGTGTAATATAATTTGTGGAGTATATTCGATGGATTGATAATCTCGAAACTTTTCGCATATCTACTTCTAAAGTCAAGAACAGTTTTACAGATCGGAAACTGATGGTATCTTTTAAACGTTGTGTTACAGGAGGTTCGTGAATGCTGCTCTCCTGTGTACATACTACAGCGTGTCTTGTGTATACGTGGTATTTATTTCTGAATCACTTTTGCAGGTGAGTAAACAATTCTTTAATAAACTTTAAAAATGCAACGTGCATAGTTTCTAGGTCAACGTTTTGTCTCTGAATCACATACTTTATAGAAAATTCTCCTAGGATTGATAAAATTGAGTTTTAAGTACTTGCTTCTAAAGCTTTTATTGTTGAATAAATTAAAATAAAGAATAATTATTATTTTAACAATAAGTTACACAACTGACCAATGAACGGTTCCAATGCAGTTGAGTGAGTTTACGACAATAAAGGGAAAACCTAACGACCTCCCCTTCCTTTTATGCATTAATAAATAAAAAATGAAACAACTTATTTCCTTTTAAATATTTGCTTGATAAAGGTTTAATTACAATCTGGCGTTACCTTCTCATTTTTATGCATTTTTCTCAATTTACCGGTTATTTAATAAGAAATATTACAAATATTGATGTGACGTAGGAAGACAAAGTGTGATAAAATGTGACAATACATTCCTAAGGTCTAATCTTTCATAGAAGCAATAAAGAAACGTGTGCTAGTGTTCGAAGGTTCATACACCTCTTTTTCACCTCACACTAACAACAAAATATATTGTGTCAAATGCGTGCGTAGTGAATCAGTAAGTTCAAAGGTTGAGTGCTTACTAGAGTACAAAAGGCGCATGAACCATGGAAGCGGCAAGAATATGTATGAACCTGACCTAACTAATGATAGATACGCACATGACACGCGACGACGGCAAAGTTGAACAATGAGTGCGTTCTCGTGTAGGCGGAATGGGAACCAAAACAACAGCGAATCGTTTCCCCACGACTCGATGGTCATGTGGGCCAAGGTTGTCCAAGTGTCAATTCGTACGACACGTGTGGCCCTCTGAACCTGGGAACTGTCAAATGCACTAAAAGTAAATATCATTTGTGGTATTGAATGTCAGAACTTCAATACTACTGTACGCATTTTTTTTCAAATGCTGGAAGCTGGGAATTTAATAGTAAATAGTATGACGCAAAATTATTATATACTAAACAAAACAAAATAATAATTTTGAGGAAACGTAACGCAATTTTAAAATATTAACAGTTACGAATAGCAATTGTAATTATTTAGACCTAACAGCAGAATTAGAGACGTATATTTGGTTAGGTGATACGAGCAATTAAAATCGCACTAGAGGCGAACACTTGCGTGGTGAAATGGGTTTGAAGAGCACTGATATCCAATTCCTTCGAGTACTTTCTGACGGTAACAATATAATGTTGCTACTGTAATCCTAAATTTTAATAACATTGGTCTGAAATTCAGAAATATATTTGGGACCTTGAAGTAATTGTTTTATCTTAGCGTAGTATTGCGAGAATTCTATTCACAAAGTCTCTAGAGACAAACTAAGATTGGACAGTAGTCTTATAGTTATGCTATATATTCATATAAACACAGATAACCTGTTAATATATACTGAAGCAAAACCAATTGCATGTAGCTACAATAATTACCCAAATAACTCTGTTCGCAAGCGCCGACATTTGTAGCGCAACTAATTCTCTCTCAAAAATAATTTTACCTCCGTCGACGTCACGAAGATCAAAATTATAATGATGATCATTATGAGTTGTTTTCTGAAAAATAATGCCAAATCTCTCTGAAAAGTTAAAAAATTCAAATATTACGTATTGCAGTTAGAACGAAATCAATTATACTTTACTCCAAATGTGAGAATTTATCTAAACTATTAAAACTAGGTGTATATTAGGGTGATCTCCACTAATCTCAGACACTTCACTTTTTATTATATTACAGTGTTCAGAGAACTAACCATATTAGAGGATACAGTGTACGAATAAGAGAGTACGCTGCAAAACCAGTAAGAAGAAACCTTCAATCAAACATACGGAAGGGAACTATCATATTTACTTATAGTCGATGGAACAATGGAGACGTCCCTGAGGCTGTAACATAGACTTTTGTTTTGCATTCAATTATAAAAAAATAGTTTTCCGGAGATGAAACTTTTTTCTAGTTGTGTACATAAATATAAACTTATATCTCTTTTAACATTTGCTTGAACTCCTGTAAATTCATTACGATATTAGACAGAACTGAAATCACGAGGTGAATCTTCCGTGATGAAGAGTAATCAATTGTGTGTGGTACTTATGCAAATGTTTTTGAATTGTATGCTGTCTGGGAGTGTTACAGTTTAGTTCGGAAAATCCAAACTTCCACTTAAGCAAATTCCCACCTACGCAATAACACGTCTACACAGAATAAGAACACGAAAATAACCGAATCGTGAAAGGAATATTCCATGACGGTAAAACAAAGTACGTGAAGAGTCTTGTATCTCTTTACCTTACTTTCGCCCCCGCAACTTACCAAGCCTTTACTAGCTTGCGAAATAACTTCGCTACTTCCGGTTTGTCGTGTGAAGATATTGGACTACAAGGCGTGCTCAAAGTGAAGAAGAGGAAGTTATGATTGCTTACTCTTTAAATCTAGATTTATTTACCATATTTGGACGAACATTGATCTTTTATTCACTGTGTAAATTCCTTAAACAGTTGGACGATAAAGACGGTGAACCATTAATATCTTGTGAATTTAAGATAGATTAGAAGTACCAAAAGTGGCAGAATGTGCAAATGCTAGTATTTGATTAAAAAACATATTTCCCTTTAAATACTATTAATGTATAATTTTATTTATAGCTCTTCTAAAATTGAAAACTTATCTAATAATTGTAATTTAAGAAAAAAAGTTTAAATGCTTTCCTAAAGACAATTTTCTGATTTATCGCCTTATAAACATAGCTTATTCATTCTTCTCCTGGTTGCCACGAGAATTCTCACATTTACTGACTGTAGTCAGGTGGTGAGTTTGAGATGAGAACAGCTCTTCCAAATGTCAGTCTTCTCGTTTTTAGTTCCCATGCATTCGTAAAACGACGACGTTTGACTTCTCCTGTCCCAACAATGGTTGGGGCAAACGTACAAAATTTGAAACTTCGAAAAACATTTCAACATACCATTCATAGTTCCACGCGAGCAACACCACACCTCACTCGCTGCCTCTGGTGACATTTTACCTATTTCATTGGGGTATATGGGATCGCGAATTCGTATAGTTCATTTGCTTTTTATTGATTTGTTTTTGTTGTTTAAGGTTATTTAAGGCCGATTAGGGCCATTTTATGGCATACGTTCATGAGACATTTTTTGTTTGTTTTACTGTGAAATCATCTTCCCAAGTTTAATGGAAGAGTACAACCACCTTCTGTGTGATAACATTGCAACAAACAATGAACGCTGACGAGTGAATCAATCTAACATATGTAAATATATTTATTCACTAAAGGTGATGTTATGTGGGAAGAAATTCAATAAACCTTATGTATAATTTATAAACAAAGCTTTCGCGCTCTGAAAAAAATGTCATTTACATTCTTCGTTGCATGAGTGAGTGAACTTTACACTCCTAGTGGTATCCACTGTGTTGTTGTATTTCAGACTAGCAAATCGTTCAGTTTGTTTCCTATTGTTTTTGTTTGTTTTCATGCTTGTAATTGATAGAAATGTGGTGATGCAAGTGGCTTCCTGCGAGTGTAGTTTAATGCGCCTGGGGTGGGTAGGGCGTGCACGTAATTCTGGAGCCTGCTTTAGAACAGAATAATGAATACGACTGATACGAGCTCATTTTATACACTCACGCAAAACCAATAAAAAAAAGTAATAAATTATGTAAATAATCCCGTAAATTAGGTAAATTTGTCTAATAAAATCATAGATTTCTAATAGCTGAGATGAAATAAGCACGCGAAAGTTGATTTGAAAAAAAAAAATTTATTCAAGCATTTGCATTTTATAAACTTATTAACACACTAAATTGTTTATTAATTTCTAAAGACGTTGATTCATTTGTTAACAAAACAAAACTAACAAAGAAATTTAAAAAAAGCAATTCAATTGTGTAAATTGAGCCTTCCCAAAACATTTGGCAGCACTGAATTCACTTTGTCTTCTTTTGCGCGACTTTAGTGTCACTGGTCCAGTCCCAAAAGATATTCAAAATTTGTCCCTTCTGTGATGCCTAACACAACCCGTTGTAATGCGGAAGCCGTTGGGTTAGGAGACCATACGTGACGGTTTCTAGAATTAATTATTCCACTTCTCGTACTCCTTGCCGCATGTGTGACGATTAGCTGCCTGCAAATAACAGGTCTTTGAAGAAGCCAGGTACAAAAGTGTTTACCCGATTCTGACTTGTGTGGTTGTGTTACACATTGCAAAATTTGTAATGATAGAATCCTTCATTGTGAAGCAATTTCCATACTGCACTCTTCACAATACCCATCTGAGAAGTATTTTTACACTGATTGATGGATTTTCTCCGGCTTATTTCACAAGGTCATTTGCTTGTTCCGAAGCTGGAGAAAGGTCTCGTTCGGAGCTCAGAGGTAATGAACCAGTGTTTCGCAACCTTCTCAAGGAGTTAATAAACAAGTTCCAGTACGGAACAATACGGCGGCTCCGTTGTTCCGTTGACATATATCCTGTGTATATGCATCCCATGTTCCTCTTTGTCTCCCAGGTGGTCTCTTTCCCTCTGGCCTGGCTTCGATCATTTCTGTGTATTCCTTGTTGCTATAAATTCGCGGCATGTTCATGAGAAATGCACGAGACTTTAGTTTAAGTAGTCAGATAAGTAAGTTAACACATAGTTTTTTTGTTTAAATAAACCCGAGTGGCGCGCTGATTAATATACCGCATTCCAATTCGGCGGTATAGTTATTTCCAGTTTCTCAAACACGCGCTCTGGCGAGTATGAACCGCTTTATTTCTACACTCAACAAAATTAATCATACGACTTCACAGATTTGAATATGGTAACTTACTGGAATATGAAATCAAAAATCTTTCAATTAAAACAGAGAAACATGTATTCGTAATAAGAAAAAAGTGGCATAATATTGTTTGCAAATTGAAGAGAACAATATATTTAATCAATTCAACAAATTTCAAGAACAGAACCTAGGTTTACCTTTTTACCTTTCTTTATGGCAAATGCTTTTTTATGTGTACACTTCACTATCGACTCTGCCAAATATTCTAGCCCATTTACATTTCCGGAATATTGTCCCCAATCAAATATACTGCCAATATCACATTTCATTTCTTACATTCAATTTCTCACCGAGTTACGCCTCTCCGACTGAAATGCTCTGTCAATAATTTACAACCTTATTCCTGAATGTCCATTTTCTATACCTTTGTTGATTCAGTCTGTCTGGACTGTCTCCATGACATCGAAAATGTTGGCAATCTGTGTTTTTATCCCAGTAGGCCATGAATACACGTAATATCTTGATGCCAAATATGGACGATATATCTCCTCTAATTTCTAATCTTTCCAGTATAGAAACATTTTTGTGCGAATTCAGCAGAAAAACTATTACCATACCTGGCTGCTGGGATGAATGACAAATGACCCAAACGCCTCCAGTGGTCATTTTGTTCTTATTGGCACTAGATTTTAGAGAGCGATTTCGGGTGTTTTTTTTAAGCCTGTCCATTTTTGTTTGATTTACAAGCAAAAAACCGTAATGCACGAAATGAATTTGAAGTTGCTGTGTGCGACTTGGAATTGTAGGAGGCGTTAGAGCAGGGGTGGGACGCATGCATATACTAGAAAGGTGCTATTAAATTGGGCGCGATTATAACAGAAACGAAAATAAAATTATAAGATTATATCTAAGAAACATTCAAAAACGTCGCGCATACTGAAGAGAGAAACACGACAACTTTAGATGCTTGTTACTTAAAGAAAATAGTATAATAAAAGTAGTTCAAAAATCAAATATGTTTATAATATGAGCTATTCAAAGAGTAACAAAGTTCATTATCGTTGGCAATTGTATGATGTTATGACACTTTCCGCACCTCTCATACTATTTATTTTATTGCAAGTATGTTAAGAAGGATAGTCTTTTTATTTTACTTATCGGTCTTGTTGCCTGTTTTTATTTTTTTATTTTTGTTTAAATTTTTTTATATATTTATTACTTATCTTTTATTATTTTTTTTTAAATTTTATTTTGTTTAATTTTTAATACATGTCATTCTGTCGCAAGTAACAAAGTGGCGTTGGTGCGTGTGCAGGTGGTGCAGCACCACGCGCCCGACCTGGGGTGGGGCGTGCGCATGTACATGTTGGTGCTGCTGCCGGTGCTGGCGGTGCTGTGTTTGCCCCCCACGCTGCGCCGCCTCGCGCCCTTCTCCGTCCTCGCCAACGTCTGCATCTTCGTCGGTTTCGCCATCACCCTCTACTACATATTCCGCCAGCTGCCCGACTTCGACCGGCCGCTGGTGGCGCCGCCCCGGCAGTGGCCGCTCTACTTCAGCACCGTCATCTTCGCCCTGGAGGGCATCGGCATGGTGAGCGCCCATTTGCAGCTCGGAATGTGCGCTTTCCGGGGGGGGGTGCTTTATTTATTTTTACAACTTTATAAAGAAATGGTGGTTGGATTTGCTTGTTAAATACGCAATGCAAGCAATATAAAATACAAAACGATGTGATACGATTGGATTCAAGTAGTGTATGATGCGATACGAATATATTCGATTCAAGTTGTATACGATACACTACGATACGATACGATACGATACGATACGATACACGTTGTGCACAATAACATGCTATATTCTGTGCACTTTCCTATATCTCTCGACCTTGCTAATTCTCTCACCATTGTTCTCTAATATTATTTCTTATCCTCAACATTACCATTCCCACATCATTTCTTTCTCAAAAACTTGGCATCTCTTTAATGTCCCCAGTCTTCCTCTTCTATCTCATTGATCCTACATTTTTCCTTCGCTATTAAGCCAATTTGTACCCGCTGTGATTGAATTTCCAAATCTATATCGTCCTTCTGTCACACTCCTTTCAATTCTCTTTTTAAATAATTTGGACTATCATCCAGCTGAATAATTTTATACCGTTTGTCATGAGTTTCGTACAAGAAAAGTATAACTTCCAACAACGTTAACTTGGTTGAAATGAAAATGTTTATATAAAAAAGGAGAATATCAGATTCAACTAATTAAGTTGATTGTGTGTGCAGTTACGTAATAAACGTTTACGTTGCTGCAGCAAACTCGTTGCTTTTCGTTTTTTCACAAACTGCCCGTGCGAAACAAATGAGAATCTGATGACTGCGAACAATAGTTTTTTCTCAGTTCTTAGTTTTGATAAGAGGAGCAGACGATTTTGCTTGACATGTTCTAAAACACTTGATCCGATGTTCGCATCGCCGCACTGACATTGTCTAATTGGTGGATTTCTTCAAAGCTGTCACTAAATGCCGTTCCCTCCCGCGACACCACGATAATTTGACATTCATGCACACAGAGGACGGCGCAATTAATGGTTTTAAGGTTCGTCATATTATTATTTACATGGTTCTCTGACGTTCATAGGACCCGATTAGTGTGGGTATTGCTCCCTGATGGGTTGCAAATTCAGAGGTGTCATGCATGTCTAAACAATGGAACGTCATGCGTATAACCACACACTTTCTTGATTTTCTTGATTACCCTTTAATCATGTGTACATATTGTGTACTACAGATTTGCACGCAGCAGAATTTAAATCGTTTATACAGTGGTAACAGAAGATACAATTCTTTTCACAAAAATTGTTTTCTCAAGATTTGCAACAAAGTGGTAATTTACGATATCAGATGAAATGGTTGATGTTCTTAGCTTAATTCTTAGGTACACCCATGTCCCAGCGGACTCGACCTCCCCGTCAACGTGCTATGCGAATCTCAGTATTATACACGTCGTCTTAGCGCAAGATTATTTCGTTTCGCAACTTTTTTTTGGAACGAGCAGAGGGCCGTTCTGAATTACGAGTTTTGGAAGCCTCTACCGTTAGGCATATTTGTGTGTGTGTGGGAGGGGGGTCCCAATGCGATAGGCATCTATGCTTGGGCAATAATTGGGAGATCCGGTTTTGATTAACGGATCTCCCCGATATAATAAAAAAATAATTGTATTGTATGTTATTTACATTATATTATTTTTCTTATATCATTTGTGTTATTATTTATATTATATTATTTATGTTATTCTGAAATGGTGCGCAGGTGCTTCCAGTTGCGAACAACATGAAGAGGCCGCAGCACTTCCTGGGCTGCCCCGGGGTGTTGAACGTGTCCATGAGCATCGTCGTGGCGCTGTACGCCATCATCGGCTTCTTCGGCTACCTGCGTTACGGCAACAACACGGCGGGCAGCATCACGCTCAACCTCCCCGTCGCGGAACCGTAAGTGCACACCGCCTCGTACAAGTACTAGAGTAATGCGAAGAAGGAAATGGATAGACACTGCCGAGTCATCGAAGACAAACATCGCGAAACTAAGGATATAATCTAGCACAGGTCTCATGACAGTGCCACGTGTTTCGTATCACCGAGCTTATCTACGCACATAGTGTCTTGAAATAAAATTACGCTCAGTTATTGTTCGTTTAGGTGCTGTCAAAACGTCGAGCAGTGTGTTCGTCCAAGAATTTGGAATATTTCGTTCCCGAGGGAAATACGAGTACAGAATATCAAAATGTTTACTTAAATTCAGTACATCTACAAACATAATTGGCTTCAATTTTTCTAACCATCGCTTCACGTGTTAATATCAGAGCCTCATTCGCCTTATTCTCTCTTGTGGCGAGTTGGTGAACTGTGTGAAGTTAATATTTTTTGTGCAGTCCCTTATTTTCACCAGCGTGTTTATTAAATAAATTTTAAATTCCCCCCTTTGGTATAACCTAGCCATTATAATCGCTCAAAATAATAGATTATTAAAATAAGTTGTTTTGTTATTTTTTGTTGTTTTTTTTTTTTTTTGTAAAACTAATTTCCTGCACAAAAATTTATAATTCAAACATCTTGGTCCTTTAGTCCTAATGAAAGTGAGATATTTATTTAAAGGTCATGACGGTAACGAATGTTATTCAATTGACCTTGTCAATAATATATTCAAACGTAATACTGTTATTTGCTTGCTTCCAACGCTGAGGCGCTTAACTGAATACAAATGGCAAAGGAATTCTATGCCAATAGACCCCTGACGTAATTATTTTGTGACACCACAGAGAAAATATTAAGGCAGCTTATACAATTGTTTTGTAATTAGCTTGCTCTTAAAACGACAAGGAAAAAAATGTGTTACTCAGGACAGCAGTGAAGAGTTAGTATTATTGGTACGTAAATGGAAATTTTAATAGAAGCACCCATGCGTAATAATATATTCGTTGCATTGCTTGCTTGACGGCCAACGCGCTTTTACCTTTTAGTAATCCGCCTGACAACTCCGTGTAGAATTTGCGACAATCACGCTTGGTCACCATATTTTTTCTCGGGTTGATTTGGGGTGCCCAGTTTCATTCAATCATTCATCCAACCGCATTGGTGGATTATTCGTTTTATTACCACATGCTCATCAAACTAATCCAGGTGTGCTCAGAAGGCACTACCATAACAAAAAAATACCACGGGCATTTCGCACCGCACCCGCACCAGCTACTCGACTGTCTGCGCTCCTAGCACGGGCAGCTCGCCCCCAACTCCGCTCTGATTTCCCCGCCAAATCCAGAAGGGGGGGGCGTTACACACGCAAGCTGAAATGGCGCGAGTTGGGGAAAGTGATTTCACCAGAAAACGTGTTTTTCATATTTGTTCTATCAAATAATTGAAATTTGAATAATTATTACATTAATCTGTATGACTGTACTTCGCGCAAAAGCCCGAGAACTGACCAGGGCCTACCAGAACCATTCCTAGTTTTCCAGACAAAAGACAGCATGATGTTTCTGAAATAAATAAATTATTGATTAAAAATTGATTTGGTTCTTTAAAACATCATCCAACTTTGGGGATCTAGAGTAGTTGATTGGGAGAATCGATATTGTTTTTATGATCTGGACTGTCCGGGTTACGCCGCCTCAAAGGCTGCGATGCCGACGTTTCGACCAACACATCGCGGTCTTCTTCAGAGCTGTATTGCGCACTACAGCCCTGTCTTGACTTAAATGCATTTCAAACATCCTGTACACTTGATTTTATCGCACATTTGAGTGGGTTTCAATTGTGACTTCCTTGAAATCGGTTCCACTCGCGTAGAACTGTCACCGCAAACGTTTCTCCGGCCATAACCCGCGTCTACGCTATATTTTAACCTCACTTAGCGATTGCATATTTTATAATAGCTTTTCCTTTATTTCGTAAATGTAGAACTTGCCCTTGAATTGTTCTATTGCGGTTATGACTAGAAATAGAAATACTTACTTTTGCTTCGTTGAAGGCGAAGCCAATTAGTTTAGGTCACAATTATTATTAAATGTACTATATATTATTTTATGCGTAACTTTATGTAAATGAATACCCGAATCTTTATGTGTGGAAAAAAACGAAAAAAACGAGCGGAATATATTTTTCATTACTTTAAAGAGTTTGCAAATTTATTCACGGCGATATGTGTAGAAGTATATAAGATGATATAGTATAGAATAATATTATCAGCTGTAGTTTAAGTTATTTATAAACCAAATTGAAATTATAATTTTTCCGAAGACCATCACACGAGGAGGCGGAGGGGAGTCAATGATGGGTAGAAAGACTTCCAAAAAAATTGCTTTTCGCCTAACCTCCCGCCCCGTGCATACCCCTCTTTTTTGCACACTCACCTCAAATTGCTATTGTTTTATTTAAGGAAACATTTGAAACTGTTGATGTCTTCAAGAATAATAAATTTGGGAACGTAATTATCGTACTAGACATTCGTTCCACCGATGGTTGGCAGTGTCTCAGTTGACTGTTACCAACATTTGTTATTCAATTAAGGAAATGTGACATGCCAACATACATGACACACCAATTTACGACACATTAAATAACAGAGAATATCAAAGAATACATAAACCTTATTTAATAATATGAAGAAACTTGTATTTTGCTTCTTTAAAAACAAATATCTTCATGAATTAACTTCCGAGACGAAGAAAAGTATCAAAATTAAATTAAAAGATTTAGAATTTTTTTTTCTCGCATAGGAAGTTTATTTTGCTGAATTTGTATCGCGTTAACAAGTGTACAAACCTATTTTTCTCGGATAGATAATAGTAGTTTACCTAACAAGGACGCGAAACCCGTGATTTACGCACGAGTTAAGTTTGTCGTCTAACCTAACGAGAAGCGAAACGCAATGCTTCAAGTAAAGGAATATAAATTAATTATCAAATAACTAGAAATATCTTACTTGTACAAAAGTAAATGGATTCCAGTAAGTGTCGTAACACTATTGTTTGTAAATAATAAACAAAGACGTCATCAATACGAAGGACAATTGGAATTGGAAATCGTTGCAGATGTTTAGCGCACGCTTCGCTATGTTTTACACACTGAGAAAAAATTAGCTGTTTCGCACACGGAAAGCAATCATAAATCACTGCGCGTTTCGCGCACGGCGTGTTAAAAAGTTATATTTTACAGTCGATAAAATTCCGTAAAATGGAACAGTGGTATTATATTCGAATGTGTTTAATGAAATTCTCTAGGCAATAAACTCGTGCTTCCCAATAAAAACGAAATAAAAGATAGATACGTTATAAAAGATAGAAACGACAAAACAGACCAAACGTGATCTTGTGCCTTGATGAACATTCTCGTGTTCAGGAAAGAATACTCGTACAGGTTCACATGAAACGAGAAGCTCATGCGGCTTTAAGACGTAAGAGAGCATTTTCCCCCTTGTTTACTGATATTCTTAGTATGCAGAGTTACTATTCGATTTTTTCTATATTTCCTCTGTTGTAATTTTGATCATATAATGAGTCTGAATGTTTCGGTAATCGCTTGTTTTAATGTTCGCCGGTGAAGTTAAACTTATTAAATATTTCACATTCCAATTTTGCCTTTAAATGAAATGTAACATGTTGCACTAATACATTTTTGTACCATTTAATGCTTTCCTCGTGTTATCACCTTTGAAAGTTAGTTTTTAACTTATTTATAAATATTACTGAAATCATAAAAATACATGAATTCTGACGTAAATGACCTACATTAATTTGGTTTGTTCTGATAACTCAACACATGTTACTGGAATACGAACGTACGTGTTAATATCAGAAAGAAAATGAAGGTCATTGGAAAGTTTAACGAATTCCCGCAAGAAACAAACACTTGACTTTTCTTTCCATTTTCATATTTCTGTAAGAATAAGTATGTACTTGTCCAAAAAAGACTCTCTTCCAAATATTTTGCCCTACTTTACGAATATTAGTTGCATCCTCTTATAGTTGCGTAGGCTTCCGCGGCCGGAGTTTATGTTTGCTGGGCTATCCGGGACAAGCCGCGTCAATGTCATGGTGGCTAACGTTTCGGCCAGCGTATTGTGGCTTCTTCAGAGCGTACTGCTGTACGATTCTCAAATAATTTAGTCCAAGTTATGGCGCATAATTGCCCCCTCTCGGCTCTTACCTCTTTATATACCCCACTTAAAACACTTATTTAAAACTAGTGTTTGTATAAACCACGTTTCTCGACCGTAGTTTAACGCAACACTACGCGGAAAGTGCACAATTTTTCGAAAATTTGAGTATGATCTTATTTCAAAATTAATCTTTAAGTAACAGATTTCATTAACGGAAAAAAATCTTTATCTTTATAATGGTATTTGTAGGAAGTCGCCGAAAAAATTGTGAGTTTTTACAATTTTCCAAATATAAAGTTTTCAACGAAAATGAGACCTGCACCCTTCCCATAAACTTCACACTACCCAACAACAAAATTCAATCAAAAACGATGTAGATACTTTTTTGTCTGAAAATTTTGAAAATGTCCCAGGGTCGTCGTGTAAAGTACCCTCCAAAATTAAAATATCGGTTTCAAATTTAAGGAACCGCGACATCAGTCGCATCAATTAGGGGAATATCAATTTTGGAAAAAATCTGCTGAATGGTGTAGTCTCTAGCGTTGTTCATGTACGGAGGTTTTCCCGCCATTTGATTTTTTTGGTATAAAGGTCCCACAAAACACGTATTATATACATCACGAGTTAGAGGATTTTTGTATAAAGTTTAGAAACTGGATTTACCTTCCTTTTCGTTACCAGGTCTATAATAGTTTTCCTGCCTAATATTTGCCTAATAAGTTTTTCGCGCAGCATTACATAACTTTCTGTCTTCAGCGTAAGCGGTAGCGAGAAAGTAAAATGTTCTCTTGTCTATATCTCGCAAACGTTTCCACGTTGGTTACCATTTTTTAAC